CATTCATTGTGTGATGAGCACGAATGTTTGTACTCCAGTCATGGGTGTTTATATTTATAATATGTATGTATTAAGAGTTATATAATATGTATAATGTATCCACTATTTGGTATCCATAACACAAGCCTCGTAGCTTACTATGGGGCTAGATGGTGTTGTGTATTAGTCCCAACATATTATTATTTCATTCCTCCGACAACGCAGGGAAACGCTATTTTTAGAATTTACATTATGTTAATATTGCAGTACTTGCTTTGACTTTGATGACGGCTTTAATTTCCGGACTTTCTAGCTTTTAGCATCTTTAAATTAATATATAATAGCATTTACCTAACCTGGAAGGAATATTATTATATACTCTGGGAAATTGTTAGTGGTAAATTTAGTACTATATTTACCCCTGTTACACCAAACTTATAACGTCTACGCGTCCCACGCAGATATGATACGAGTATGTACCTTAATATTTATGAGAGCATTCTCTTCAATATATTTATACGAGCGAGTTACCCTCATTTTGCTCGGGTAAGTTTTAAAGAGTTAAAAATAGTTATTGTAATTTTTGAGTGTACCTTAGGAGATAGACATATGATATAGCCGACTTTTCTGCAGGTCATTTTAAGACCTATCATTTTCTAATTCATTCGCTTTAATATATTTCTAAAGACTTGGCAAGGCATGTAAGTATACGAAAATTTTTTTTGACTAAACTTCACCATAGTTCAGCCATTTTGTACAAAATGTGTGTTTGCGTAAAAAGCAGACAGACATGCAGACAAACTTACACAACTTTCATCAACTATTCTTTTAGACTAAAAATATTGCATGTATAGATTTTGATTTGTTACTATTTTATTATATGTTTATATAGATGTTTATATTATTTATGAAAAATATTTTTAAAATATTATTTTAACACTGATTCAATCATCACACAAGACTTCATAGAATATTACATAAGCAAATTGAAAATTTTTATTGAATCAATATAATTATAACTACGTACCAATTAAAAAATATTTCAACCTTATAATTCATTCATCAAAACAAACATCATGAAAATCGGATTACAATTGGCCAATATCCATATCTATATTTTATATTAGGTATTTTATATGCAAAAGTTGCGGATCGTAAATGTGAAGTTGACGATGTTATACTTCCAAGCAACAAAAGGTACTTAAGCCGACGGTGCCGGCACGTGTTACCATTCTCCCGGACTATGAGAGTGAAAGGGATAGACGGTGCACTTGTATTTACTACTAGTTGCTTCCCAATACAACCTTTCATCCCCATTTTCACTCCCTTAAAGGATGACTTCTGGGTTAAAAACTATCCTATATCCTTCCCAAGGTCTCAAACTATGTTCTTACCAAACATCTAAATCAGTTTAGTAGATCCAGAGATTACCCCTACAACCTCACAAACTCACAAACTTTACCTCTTTATAATAATAGTATAGATAACTGGTGTTAGCTCAGTGGTTCGACTATAATCCTTTTGATTAATACTAAAGCTCGTTGATAGCTACTAAACTAAAAAAAATAAAATCAGTAAACAAACAGAGGAGAAAAAGGTACTGATTACTGAACTGTTGTCATTGCTTATATATATATATATATATATAAACCATAATTAGGCCTAGAAGGCTCGTTTGTATAGTTGCAAATCACGAGACAAAATTATAATTAATCGAGCCAAGAGGGTTACTGAACAAATTCTCAGTAGCGCAACGTTAGGCAGTTGATTTTTTAAGGATCTTTGGAAAACACTTAAAATTGTAGATCCTGGTCTCTAAATACTCTCCGATATTTGAACACATTTGTATCTTAATTATTCACTAAAGTACCACTATTTCTCTCTGTCTCTTTCTTTCTCTCTCTCTCTTTCTGACCTATCTCCGGAGATATCTCAATAGATTAAACAAAAAAATTAGGACGACATCCTTCACTTTTAAATAATGACCACTTTAAACCTAATATATAAAATTCTCGTGTTAGTGTTTGTAGCAAAACTTATGATTTGGCGTTAAAAATACATACAAACCTAATTTTTTGCGTAAAATTAACTGTTCCATCGAATAAACAATTATATACCTCTAAGCAATAATAGTCGGACGTACTCGCTCGGATTGCTTTGCATCTACATACTCGTACTACATGATATGAGATGGTCTTGCCCGACCACTAATTAACTATCTTTGTACGGGTCGTGATTTAACCACAACAAATATGTACATAAATAAGATGTTATGAGACTCTACCGTAGTAAATGTAATAAGCTATATGGTCTAGTTTATCATAAATGTATGTATGTACCTATTGTATTCAGTCCTTTTTAACATCCCACTGCTGGATACGGGCCTCCCTTCAAAACGAGGGGGACAGGCCATAGTCCACCACGCTGGCCAAGTGCGTGTTGGCGGACTTTACATGTCTTTCGAAAACTTGCTAGGTTTTCTCAGACATGCAGGTTTCCTCGCGATGTTTTCCTTCACCGTAAGGCAAGTGGTAATCATATTAAAAATGATTCGCACATGAAGATATCAGAGGTGCGAGATCCGGGATTTGAACTCGCTTCACTTGGTTTCCCAAGCGAGCGCGTTACTACTGGACTCCCGCTGCCTTTATCATAAATACTGTTCGAAAAAATCTGTATTTGATACATATTCTAGAGACCACTTTGCAATTTTTTCATCAAAATATACGAGCTTTTATGTATAAGATTATAAGATGTCCGCACAAAGTACGCCTCGTGCAGTAATCAAATATTCTTTAGTAATCCATCATTTTCTGAAAAGGTATTCGACATTGTTAGTATATTATAACGCGTTGATGGAATTGTGTTAGCTTCAATCTAGTGCTTAAACAGGTTAGAAAGATGCGAATATGAAATATTTAAAAATGTGAGAATAAGCTGTTGTATAGTATAATGTACGGTAATACCAACTTTTCACGCTATATTCTCTGTCAGCTGTAGCCCATAATTTTGTATATAACTATCGACTCACCATCGCTTCCCTCGGTTTTCTCTCTAGCTTAATTCCCCATACAAACTTTTATCCCCATTTTCACTTCCTTAAGGGATGATTTCCGATATAAAAATCCTATATCCTTCCCAGGGTCTCAAACTATCTTCTTACCAAATTTCACCTAAATTGGTTCAGAAGATCTAGAGATTACCCCCTACAATGTCACAAACTCACAAACTTTACCTCATAATATTTTCTTAGATTTAAAACTAACTTTTCGGATAATTTGGTTTTTAAAATTTTTAGAACTAAAATCAACAAATATTGTAAGGTACTTTGGTGGCATTTTTAGAATTTTTGAAATCATTTTTGTAAAATAGTGCATAAGCACTGTCTGTAACAAGTATATAACGCCTTTGAGACGTCTATAACCTTAGTCTCTCCCGTGACCATGATTGCTGTAAAGCATTCGAAATGTCGGGAACCAAAAATCAAAATAAATCCGCGAAAAATTCCGAAAAGAGATTTACTTAAAACTACCTCTTTATAACATTAGTGTAGAAGTAAAGATTTAGTTCAATTAACAGTGGAATGGTCCTCCCATTATGGTAGCAATCGAGATTGCTTCAGTGAATAAAGGACTGCGTGAATTAAGGAAATGCCGCGTATTGCACGAAATGGAAATGTAGAGAGCGGTGGATCAAAAGGCCTTACCTATTAATCACACACGTTTCTCGCCAAGTAATGTTTGCGTGTGTGTATGTATGTGTGTATATATGTGTGTGTATGTGCGTGGGCGTGAAAGTGGGAATGTGTGTGCGCGTGCATATGTGCGCGTCATACATTAGTTCTTCTATTAGTCATAACTAAAAATCAAATCAAGTTTTTTGATAAAGTCGCGTTAGCACAGGTTTCTGATCTGCATTATGTTCCAAAGGTATTCACCTACATACGTATAAACAAATTTTACTTTATTATAATAATGTAACAGGCACAATTTTATTATGACTTTATGAATACTATTGCCAAATGTTTTATATAAATTCTATATAATCGTCTAGAAACTTTTCGACACGTATAGCGCAACTTCGGCCCGAATTTTAAAAATATATCTATTTTATAAACACTGTACTCTGTAAATGAAAGAGATAATTTTTCATTTATTGCTTTCATTTTATATTGGTTTCGGATAGGTAGTTATTATTCTCATCACGTCGCCAGACAATTTTAATGTAAAGCATATTTCATTAGCCGACAGCATTAGAAAGAGGGTAATGTTTATCGAGTCTATGCATGTATGTTTAGTTTTTTGACGAAACCTCAACATCTCTATAGGACACTGGAGAGACCATATTTACTGTAAAGCATTTGAAACGTCGAGAACCAAAAATCAAAATCAATTCGCGAAAAAATACTTTTATTTAAAATATCAATATTCGCGTAAATGTATAATAGTATTATTAAAAATTTCATTAAAACTAAATCACTAATTCATATTTCCAATGTTTTAAATATTTCTAAGCCATTTAATTGTGAGATTTTCGAAATGAGTAGACGTGAAATAATATTTTAAGACTAAAAAGAGACGCACGAACGAAAAGTAATGAATTCTTATTGTAATGGCTTGACCTCTTACTTCTTACTATTATTATAAATGTGAAAGTTTAGACGTTTGAATGTTTGTTACTCAATCGCTCCAGAACGGTAGAACGGATGTGGATGAAATGCACAGAGATAGATTAGACTACATTTTTATTCCGGAAAAATTTACGGTTTCCGTGGGATAAGGCAAATCCGAGCGAAGCGAAGGTGAGCCGCTGGTTTTTCATAAAGGTGTTCTTAACCACTAAATACATATCCTTCAACTCTATATTAGACGAGATTGAACTTACTTATAAATTAAATTTGGGTTAAGTGATTTTTAATTTAATTGTTGGCTAAAAAGAAAAATTTTACTACCATCTTCTTACATTTTACACATAATAAAACAACACTTGTAAGCTGTTTTATAAACAATAAGTATACATACCTCTAGTTTTATCATAAGTTTGATCCACAATCTTTTCCATTCTTGAGATGTGTCTCGGAATGTAATCTGCGAAACGATGCTCCGCCGTAATCGTCAATCCATTGCTTTCTGATAACTTCTAAAACAAGCAGATAAAAATTTCAATTTATTGAGTGATAAAAATATTTAGGCTTAATATTATAATAATTAGAACTTTTTTATAGAAACAAATAGGTATTTAATTCGTAAATTATTTACATTAATGTTTTCAGTAAACTAAGAAAAGTAATAAGATTTTATAATTTTATTCGATTCTCAGATGTCTTTCTTGGTTTCTTCACAGTTTTAAACTGAAACACTTCACATTTTTACCAGACAGTTGCTAGCAAATGAGTTCATTCTTATTAAGTTACGGCATAAATCAGGCCAGTCCAAGAGAGGATGTTTTCCTGACCGACTTTTCAAGTCAGATAACGTCAGCACGGTAGGAGTCGTTGAGCCATCTACACGAAGGATATTATAGTGCACAAGTATATGAGACCGATGCACTATTTACTCTCATGGTCATTTCAAGCCAAGGGCACTTGTTGTGTAAATGCGTACAATGATTTGCAGAACTTGACCAGAAAAAATGGCATCCCTATGGCTATCATCCCATGAATCATACGACTGCTATAAATAAATTCACCTGTATAGATAAACAAGAATACAACATACTCGTATATTTAACTTAATCTTAATATAAGTAACATTAAGAAAAATTATATGTTTTTTTTTTACAAAATAGGCAAATCTCGCAACAAGCTTTTATATCATATAAATTTTATAATGTAATAAACTTATAAGTTTGAATTTATTTAAAGTATATTTTCTTCTTTTTAGAGCATTTAAATAAAAGCTTATTTTTAAAAGTGTTTTTACTATTATTTTATTAACGGTAATTCTATGTAAAGCGCCGTGTCTGAGCCATTCTACGTGATATTAGCAAAACAAACTGCACTCAAGTGGCACTATAAAAAGACTTTGAACTGAAAACTGTAACATTCTAAGTATGGTCATGCTTCACCCATCTATCTGCTTACTAGAAGAAATAGACGGATATTCAGCTGAGCGATTAAACATCACGTATGATTAAAAACATAGTATTGAATCTTAATCCAATGTAAGGTTCAATACAATATATATAGGTAAATTAGTAGTAAACTCTAAGAAAAGGTAGTTGTGACTCAATATTAACACGCTTGCTTGGAAACCAAGTGAAGCGGGTTCAAAGGTATTGTTTGTTTATTTATTTTTTCCATATGCGAATCATTTTCAACATGATTACAATTTGTCTTATGGTGTAGGAAATTATCGTGAGATGAGATGATTGGAGATAGAGTGCATGTCTGAAAGAACCTAGCAACATTTCAAAAGACATGTGAAGGCCCTGATCCCTCTTGTATTGATAGGAGGCTCGAGGTCAGCAGTGGGACGCTAAAAAGGGCTGAATAGAAGAACACTAACACATAAGAAATAAAACATTTTTTCATCACACACGTGTGCAAAGGCATAGACAGAAATTAGTATTATTATTTACCTTTATAGCGTCCATTTGTTGTTCAGCTGCAGTTAATTCATCTCCGGCGATGATTGCAAACTTCGTCCATCCGTAGGCTTTTAACAACGAAACGACCGATTTGCTGACTTTGTGAGCTGGTGGTAAAGTACGAGCGAATGTAGCACCCAGACCTCCAGCTTCTGGTCCTTGGGCACCCGCACATTTCTGTTGAAATTATTACTGTTGAATACTTAGCTCGAATTTTTAAGAATTGATTTTTCAATCATCTATACTAATATTTTAAAGAAGTAAAGTTTGTGAATTATGAGTTTGTGACGTTGTAGGGGATAATCTTTGGATCTATTGAATCGATATAGATGAAATTTGGTAAGAAGATAGTTTGAGACCCTGGAAAGGACATAGGATACTTTTTATCCCGGAAATCATCCATTAAGGGGGTGAAAATGGGGATGAAAGTTTGTACGGGGAATCAACCTAGGGACGACCCGAGCGAAGCGATGATGGTCGCTAGTAAAATATAAGTTATAGCGGGGAAACGAAAACCTCAACATTCAACATATTCAGGCACGTGCACATCGTATGCGTGATATAAAATTCATCTGACAATATAATCTTCTCTTAAAATAACATCATATTTTTAGTATTTCTAATTTAAGTACATATAAGCTTCTTTTTTCGTTACGCCTAAAGCCAAATAAACAATATTACTATATTATAATAATACAAACAACATTTATGTAAATAGAACTCGTTTATCCACGCGCAGTCGCTGAGTAAATAAGCAAACAAATCAACAATTTACTATTATTAAATTAAATACAGAGTTATTTTTCATATAATAGTTAAGTAAATATTTTATTTTAATATAATTTTTTCTCGACATAAAACAATACGATCGTCATACTTTAATTTCAAAGTGTAATTCGTTTATCTTTTTTACGTAGAAACAACTTTTATAGATAAATTAGTTTTGAGTCCGGAAAATAATTTTCCTTTTCTTCATTTTACTGTTGTTTAGTTATATTTATATACATAATTTGCGATATATACTCACTTTGCTCGGGTTCGTCCCCTAGGTACGTTTTAACGGTTACTGATTCGTATGGAATAGATAACTATATATATATATATATATATATATATATATATATATACACTACTTCGACGTGAAAGAAGGACAAACAAAAAAACACTTTCATAATTATAATAGGATAAGTACCTATACATATTATGCTACAGTCACAGACGTAAAAGATTATGTCTCCCTCACAGCCTCTATTACGCAGGAAATTACACACGTCCAGAGAGAGATCAGGTAGGTACACGACCGACAGCTTTCTTTGCTCTCGAAGAAACGGACGTAACATATCTCATTATAAATAAAACTATCTTTTCGGATTTTTTCGCGGATTTATTTGGATTGTTGGTTCTCGACGTTTCGAATGCTTTACAGCATTCATGGTCACGAGAGACTGAGATGTTAGATGTCTCGAAGGTGTAGTTGTTATAGACAGCCTACCCACAAATAACAAAATGAAAATTGCACCAATTACATAACAATATTTCTTAACTGTAAACATTTTTATAATTTTAATTAGGTAGTTTTCTAATTGAATATGGAATATTATTTATTTATTTTTTGCTGTTATTATTATAATTATTACAATTTTAAAAATATTAATTAGTAATCTATATTTAGTGTTGCCATTATTATATTTATAACCATAAAGAAACGTCGGGAACCAAAAATCCAAATAAATCCGCGAAAAATCCGAAAAGACAGTTTTGTTTAAAATATCAAAAATATTCGCGTAAACCTAAGAAAGTATTATATCTCATTACTTACTGATAATTCTTTAACAAAAAACTAGTAACTGTTTTTTTAGTCTAAGTAAAGTTTTAAGATATGAACTTAAAACCTAATCTTTAGCCTATTATTTAAAATTTAACCAAAAAGATACAGGCAAATAAGAGATACACCAAACATGTAAGGAAATGAAAATCGTCTGTGGCCTTCGTTTCGGCTGTAAAGGTAGGTCGGAGCTAAAAACTTTAACAGTTAATATATGAAAGAAAAATAAAAAAAACACGTACATTAGCCTCGAGGCCTCGCAGTCACATTGAAATGTTCGCTAAGTAAGATGGATGCTCCTAAAAAACATATAATGCTACGTAGCTAAAGCTGTAAAATAAACAACTGGTTTTAAATTACATCATTAAAAGGCAGACGTTTTGCTCTTATTGCTCATATTATATAAAAAGTAGGTAGGTAACAATCTATAAAATCGGTTAAGTGCGAGTGGCACTGAGGGTTTCGTAACAAGACTTAGTGTACATATTTGTGACGCATATTTACTAATTGAATCCGATTTTATTGTGCACAGTAGATTCTGATTTGATTAAGTTTAAGAGTTTCGTAGATAAAATATAACTCAATTATGTTTGTTCATCTGTAAGTCAAATTATAATCTATCATATATATATATATATATATATATATATATATATATATATATATATATATATACATATATATATATATATATATATATATTCTAGACTATAATCTATCTCTGTGCCAAATTTCATCCAGATCCGTTCAGCCGTTTTGGCGTAATTGAGTAACAAACACCCAAACGTCTAAACTTTCACATTTACAATATTATTAAGATTATAAAGAAGAAAGATTATTTTTTATAATATCAATTTACCACCGAGGGGACCGAAGGCGTCAATTAGACCCATAAATAATTAGGTACATTTATTTCCTTTACATCAATATTGTTGAATAACATCACTAATACGTATTAATTATAGAAAAATGTTGATATAATGACATGATTATGAAAATGCAAAATAAATAAACATCTATACATATAATAAAATGTAATATATTCATTCAGCCCTTTTTAACGTCCCACTGCTGGGCACGGGCCTCCCTTCAATACGTGGGCGGATCAGGCCATAGTCCACCACGCTGGCCAAGTGCGGGTTGGCGGACTTCACATGTCTTTCGAAAACTTGCTAGGTTCTCTCAGACATGCAGGTTCCCTCACGATGTTTTCCTTCACCGTAAGGCAAGCGGTAATCATGTTAGAAATGATTCGCACATGGAAATATCAGAGGTGCGAGACCCGGGATTTGAACCCGCTTCACTCGGTGTCCCAAGCGAGCGTGTTACCACTGGGCTACCACTGCCTTTTTTGTATTAATAAAATGTAATGTCCCAACATATTTTTTTATTTATCATATTATCTAATGGAATATGTATATGAAATATTTTTAAAAGCTATGACTGTTACGTATTGTGTACAGAGTATAGACCTTAAAACAGTAGTTATTAAAATTTTAGTCCGTGTATTTCTGTGCGCATTTCAAGCAAAAAGTCCTGAACCGATTTTAACAAAATTTTGTGTAGTGCTTACTTTTTACTCGGATCATACATTTTACTACAGGAAAAATTTTTATTCCCACAGGCAAACATAATAACTGGTTCGGTCGTACGATCCTTAGAAATTTACAGGGCTAACGCTGGTTAAATCTTGAGAGGTAAATCGAAACAATCTACAAGAAAATTGTAGGTCTTAAAAAGGCCTACAGAAATGTCTGCAATAATGTACATTCACAATAACTAGTTTTATTATTTTAATCCATGTACATACCTAGAGGAACGCACCCTCGTGAAGCGAGGGTGAGTTGATAGTCTATATTAATAATATAAAGAGGTAAGGTTTGTGAGTTTGTGACGTCGTAGGGGGTAATCTATGGAACTACAGAACCGATTTAGATGAAATTTTGTAAGAAGGTTTGAGACCCTGGGAAGGGATACTTTTTATTCCGGGAATCTCCCTTAAGGGGGTGGAAATCGAGATGAAAGTTTGTATTGGGAATCAAGCTAGGGCCGAACCCGAGCAAAGCGATGATGAGTCGCTGGTATAAAATATTAAGTCTTTTAATATTATTTAAGTGAAGAGTACAAAATTCTGTAAAGTCATTGTTTGTTTTCTTCAAAATTGACTCGTATTACAAATGTTGGCAATGACGATACGATTTTAAATGTTGTTCGCTGGTTGTTTTCAGGAAAATTACAGACTGCGTCTGCATTGCTTTTTAATCCATACTATTCCATACTAATATTATAATTAATGTGAATGTAACTCTATCTTTTCATGCTTAAACCGCTGAACGGATTTTGATGAAATTTGTCAAGGACATGCATACGTACATAGATTTACAAGTACCTTTTTTTAATGTTAGGAAATTACGCATGTCACCTGTAGATATACAGGTGGTTATATGGGACTCACCAGCTAGAAAAACTAGTATTACCTACTAAAACCCAACAAAACCTCCCCTGTCTTAATGGGGCGTAGCAGGAGTAGCTTGCGAACTCAACCACGACACCCCGACGGCAGGTCTGCCGAAGCAGTCTACAACAACAATGGGGTTGCTTCAAGGTTCACTCTGCTCTCAGAGAAGTACCAGGAGCAGCCCGCACGGTACACCGCCTACCGAAGTAGGCCACCTCTCTGTGCGTTTCTTGGCCCAGCTGAACTGCCGGACGCTAATCTGCCTCCTACCACGACAAGGTGAATGCACGTTGGAGGGCGGGGGGACTGGGGTGGAGGTTTACAAGTACCTTCTTCAACTATATTTTTTATAACCTATCAACTACTAATTTTAATATAATTAAATTTTTAAGCCGCTTGGAACAGCACAGGATTAGAGCTCGTTAAAAGACGAAAATCTGGACGCAATCTGTATCCATTCTGGGTTCTCAGTTGAATACCTATCACGACATTGTTTTAACGAGCTTACTTCATCAAAGTGTCACTATCATTCTAACTTACATAAGTTTATTGGGTAAACGTCTCTTGGCCCATTAATCTTTGAACCAAGTACAATAAATATTACAGCCAGTTGACTAAATAGCCTGCAACTGTTGCCGGTAACTTCAATTATTTGGAGTACGGCCGTTAATATCGTAGCTTTGGATCGTGTATGACGATTTACAATGTAATACCAAAATATTTCGAATTTAAAAAATAATATACGAAGTATAATTTTTAAGTCCTGCTAATCTCTGTAAGATGTGTAATAGTAGCCTATATGTTATTGTTTTAACGTGATGAATTAACAACTAATAAACATACAAACATTCACAAACATACAAACTTACACATTCATAATAATAGTGTAAAGAT